GCGGCTTGTTTTACAACGTCGTTGCCAGGCGACGAAAACCCAACCCCGATGGCAAACACCGAGGGGGGCCGGTGTCGCCAAGGGGGGGGCGGGTAAACGCCTCCAAAGAAAAGATACAGCAGCATGGAGACAAAAGCTCATAGACAACGACAAGTTGGTACTACTTGTCAACACAAGCCCGCCGCCGTTCATGCGAGCTGCAACCTATTACGGAAACACGGTCTGTGCACAGCACTCCCACATCAGACACCAGAACATATCACGGACGACCAGACAGGACAGGACAGGACAGGACGGGACGGGACAGGACAGGACAGGACAGGACAGGACAGGATGCCGCCACACGGCACCACTGAAGACACAACACAAGCGCGAAAGAACACTCACGAGACTCGGAATGAAAGGCAAGAGTCAGTCATCCACGCACGATGCACGATGATCAAGCAAAAGAAAAAAACGATAAAACCCTGCACGGCGGGTGCGAACAGCACCAGTGCCATTTTCAGCACAAACTGACCAATATAAAGGGGGTATTTGGGGGTATTTCTTACCTTGCTGGACTCGCTCGAACTTGACCCACTCGAACGTGGTGGCGGGCATCCTGCCCAACCCGGCCTTGGCCAGAACGCGGCGTGTCTCCTCGTCCACTCCCACCAGGGAATCGGTTTTAGCAGAGGAGACAGCGGTGGAGGAGGGCTTGCCGTTGGCGTAGGCGCTGTCGTTGCCTTCGACTCCGCCGAGGGCGTTCGCCGCCGAAGGGGAAACGGAACCTGAGAAACAATCGCAGACAAATGTGGTTCACAATGACGTAAGTTTCACAAGCAGCAGCGGCAGCAGCAACAGCAAAGCGCGGGTAGTAAGGAGATCGGCCGCGGCGGCGGCGGTGGCGGCCGCTCCGGTGTTCACTGTTGCCATCGGCCGTCGGTGAAAAACCCCCCACCTCTCCCCCGTTCTCTCGTTGTCTCTTGACCTTGTACGTTTTCTCGCCGTTGCCCTTGGTCATCACCCTCCCTCGGGTGCGCTTTTTCGTCTCTCCCCCCTTCTCTCTGCCGATTCATCCCTGTTCCTGTTCTCACTACGTGTCTCTCATTTCGCTACATTTTCCTTCCTCCCGGCCTATCTCAAGCCTCTGCAGTCTCTAATTTTGTAAATGCTCCTTTCGCATACGTGGCTCCGTCTGGCTGTGTGCCTACTAGTCCATCATTCTGTAGGTATGCAGCTGCCACTGCTCCTTACCTAAAGGTTGGTTAGCGACACCGCCGCCTCGCTCTTGCACGGCCGCCACCGGTACGGACTGACCAATCAGTATCGTCCGTCCAATCAGCAGCGTCGGTCGTGTCATGTCGGCATGTCGTTGTTAAACAGCAAAGGTGCCAGTACACACCACAAGAGCCGACAAAAAAGAAACGAGCATCAGGACGGGCTGCTGCAGACACAACAGACCTGCAATAGGCGAAGAAAAAGGCTGGTTCAACACAACCAAACCGAGCGGGCGTCAAAAAACATGCTTAGAACTGGAATCATCCCCATTCAGTGTCAAAGAATCAAAACGACCATATGCGGGTATACATCACGGACAAGATACAAACAATTAACAAAAAAACAACACGAGTCGATGAAACGGGGAATGATGCTCCACCAACACCAACAACAATGCGCAAAGCTATGCGCCAGTACAATCACAAAGCTCAGCGTCAAAAAACAAGAATCACAAGTAGCGTCGCGTGGCGAGCACTGGCAAGTTATTCGCTCAATAATTCAATGAAGTTATTTTTCAGCCCTAAGATCCTGCTGTTTGGGAAGCTCACACCGGGTCGCTTGCGGAGAGATCTATCCCCCGCAAAAGCGTGCTTCGACACCCGGCCGTTCTGTTCGTAAGCACATGTTCCACCTCCTTGCTAATCGACATTCGTAGCCACTCTTTCGTGCGTGCGGTTGGTCTTTGTGACTCCCAGACCGAGGAAATGACAACAAGAAGAAACTTTACAACACAACACAAGCGCGGTATTCAACAATACCTCACCTCAACGATGTTGCCGACCCCCCTGATTGGCCCGTTGTACGACAGCATCGCGCCAGAGCTCTTACCCACCGGCTTCTTCAGGTGCGCGAAGCCGCCGCGGCCTCCTCCCTCATCGTCCACGAGAGCATTGGACTTGAGACGGAAGCCTTCGACGTCGTCTACCGCGATAAGGGTCGGCAGCACGGCGTGGTAGAGCCTGGGCAGCACCTCCGCTCGTCCGCTGTCTCTTAGGCCTTTCACGAGCGAGGGAGATATGTCCTGCGAGACCCGAGCGAGAAAACAAGCACACCCGCGCGATGGGGGGGGGGATCAGTCGGTGTGCGTATGACATAGAGAGAGGCGCATACAAGTAAATAATGGAAGGGCAGAAGAGTTTGTGTGACGGATTCTTAATCGGCCAGCCGGGTAGCGCGGTCGATTCCTCCGCAGGAACATACAGTCACACACATCGACGCCGTAAGCCTTTGGCCCCGATGCCCCCCCCCCCGGTGTTTCCCGTGTTTGCCATCGGAGTTGGGTTTTCGTCGCTTGGCAGCGACGTTGTAAAACAAGCCAATTCACTTCGTGAACTCGGCAACCAGGTTGCTGTTTTTTTTTCACCGGTATTTTCTTGGCAGTAACCATAATGGTCGAGAAGATCATGTTGTGCGGGGTCGAGAACCCCCACTTCGCGCAAGGGAGATGATCGCACCACGTTGTGTTAAAATGGCAGTTACACAGTGCTTACAACTGTCTCAGGAAGTGAACGCGCCAGAAAGTAATTTAATTCATACGCAGCTGTCATCCGTACGCAAGGAAGTAAGCACAAGATGCCGAACACCCTTAGCAGGATGCAGCGCACCCTTCATGCGACTCGCCGAATATCTCACGGCGCTTCGCGCTTGGTGATGTGAGAGCCTGGTCCGGTGAGAACCCGGCGTGCTCCGTCCCGGCTTTGTAGGGATGCGAGGTCAATGGTCTAACGACTACGGCATGCACGACTATGAGTACACCCTCCCACCCCCCCCGCGAACGCCTACCACACGCACCTTTCCCGCGGCACACAAGCACAACGGCGGATCATCCTTGCCCTTCCCATCGCCGCCCCTACCGCTCCAGCCCGCGCCCCCGCTGTTGGCGGTGGCGAGATACCGGCAGTCGGGCCGGTGGCAGTAGGTGCGCCTGCCACGCTCGACAGCCATCGGCAGGAGCTGGTCCAGGAAGGGCACCACGATCTCGCAGCCTCGGGCGAGCGCGGTGGCGAGGGCCGAGGGACCGCTCTCGGCGACGAAGAAATCAGCGGGCAGCTGGGAGTCCCACAAGCAGAGGGTGACGTCCAGCAACAGCGACTCGTTGCCCTGGTTTGATACAACGCGCCGGGTGTTTTGGCATCGCATGGTTTTAGTAGCAGTCGTGGCGCAGAAGGGGGAGGAGGAGGGGGGGGAGAAAGCGGCAGGTAATCGACACGTATCACTGGAGGAGGCAAAGAGAACAAAACGGAGGAAATTGGTGCGTATCACTGGAGTACGTTGCGCCAACAAACAAATGGTTCTAACTCACAGGCCAGCAACCCGGCGATTTGGGTCGGTCGTGGAGCTGGGGGAATCAAAGAAGTGAGTTATCCCCCGCACGTCATCTGCAAGGGTGCTTCCTCCATCCACACCAGACACGTCAAGCAGCACTGCTATCTTCGTTTCCCGGTACGCCCGACGCGGTTAGAAATTGCAAAATGGCATCTGCCAGCACGCAATACACACACACATTTGGAAAGCCATCCACACGTCAACAAACAAGTACGGTCTTTCAAAAACAAACCAAAAAAGATGCGCACACAGACACCAAGGCAGGTCTTGAAAAGTACCACAAAGAGACGACACCCGCGGCTTGGCTGATGCAAAACATGAGTACGCCCCTCCCCATCTGGAATGAAGCGCATACAACCGCAGGAGGGGGTCCAGCCCCCCCCTCCTATGTGACCCCGGTTGGGTCGTCTAGCTAGTAGAAGTGGAGGATAGGGGCGAGAGGGGCAGACGACAGAGTCCAACGATGGGAGGAAAGAAAAGAAAAAAAACGTAGCCCCAGTAGATACGTGAAATACAGAAACGAAAAGACATGTTTTTCTCCTCTCCCTCTTGTCTCTCCCCCTCACCTCATCCACGAGGATGTCTTCCACGTGCACCGTTACGTAAACGCCTATGTCCATCTCCGGGCCCACGCTCTCCAAAAAAGCATCGGCAGTTCTGCTCGCACCGTACCCGACCTTAGCCAGGTGCCAGTGTCTGCCCGTGGGATTCTTCCCACCCCTGGCACCGGCGCCGCCGTCTTCGAGCGCCTTCACGCCATCACTCATGAACTGGACAGAGACGCGTTCTGAGTTCCGTTAGAGTTTGCGGCGGCGGTGAGATCATCAAACGAGCAGTATCTACCAAGACGCGGCTTGTGTTGCCTCGTGTTAGAACACTTTTCGGGGCGAACTGGGATCGGAAGAAGTGCCAAAACACTGCAACCGCGGAGGTCAGAGCAGCAAAATGGCAGCCGAGAGGTGCCCAACACTGCCAGATTCTAGAAGCCTGAGGCTGAGAGCACCTCGCCCGACTGAATGCCTCCGTGTATCCAAAGGAATGTACGTACGTAAGTTGTACAGCTGATCGCACACCTCTACCGGCGTGCATGTACATGTAGTTGGTGCATGCAGCTTACGTTCAACCTGCCCATGAACGTGCTCGTATCCCCCCATCATGCTGTCCATGTTTTGTGCTTGCATCGCATCGCAAAACCACCGAAGCCTGTAACCAGTACAATACCCGCCATGGCATCCCCGGCAGATAATAGTGTGCCATGACGCTTCTTCGTAGATAAGCAGTTTCGTTTCGACTTGCCTTTCCTCATGTTCTTCCCCCCCCCCCTCTACCTCCCTCCGTCCATCTTCGATTTTCCATCTCACCTTCGACATCATATGACGGCACAGGCTGTGATAGTGTAGCAACGGCATGTTCTCCAACGGACCATGTTCAAAGAGCCAAAGCTGTCGAGGTNGGGGGGGGGGGGGGGGGGGGGGGGGGGGGGGGGGGGGGGGGGGGGGGGGGGGGGGGGGGGGGGGGGGGGGGCGCGATGGAGGAATCAGAGAGAGAGAGACGCGAGAAACGGGCAAAGAAGCCGATTCGATGCGACTAATCGTCTGCGAGGACACCCAAGGGACGAAACAAGCACCACGCCACAGCAGCAGTGCATCGAACATCTCCTGTCAAAGAGGTCGTACCCCATATACCAACGGAGACAAAAACAACGGCAATATTTGTGGGGACGAGAGCGAAACAAACGTCCACGCTACCGTACTACCGCGTCATATGTTTTTACGGACTACGGACTACGAACTGCGAACAGACCACACACAGGGCCCTAATGTTCACGGCACACGTTCCACAGACTACAAGACCACAC